ACTGAGCCACAACCCCAGCCCTGATATATTACTTTCATACCTTTTATTTTGCAGCCAGCCCAGCCCACCCCTCCAACAGGTACCCATTCCCTTGCTCATGTAGGATGTAGCAAGAGTTCCCCTTGGTACAACCTGCTTTTCAAGTCCCCTACAGCAATTAACTGAAATGAGGGGGCCAGGACTGCACTGCCCCATCACCTCGGGTGATACCTCACAGGAGTCCCAGGTTACAGGGATGGTAAACAGCCAAGCGGTTTCTTTTGTGGTCGACACTTGGGGGAGTCTTTCCCTTCTGACAAAATGGCATGGACCCTTTCAAAGCAATTACCTCCAGTATGGGAGTCTCCAGAACTCCTATATAGCCATTAAAGACACTTTCTTTACTTTTTTATACATTTGAATCCCTTACACTATCCCACGCCTTCATCATCATGCCACATTGCCTTGTCCCCCTACTGGACCAAGATTTCCTCCATAAACTGAAGGCTTCCATCTCCATTCCCCCTTTACAATCCACCACCATTTTAAAAATACACTCCAGCCTAGTCTGCTGTTCCCCCTAAGCCTCGTGATCATCCCTTACTAGCTGGAATCAACCCCACCATCTGAAACACCTCTCAACCCAACACTGCTAAGCGCCACCCCCCTATTCAAATCCAACTAAAAGACCCCTCACTACTTGACCCTCTCTCAATATCTTCTTTCTCAACTCTCATGTGTTTGAAGTCCATTATCTCCCGTTTACTACAGGCTCATCTTCTCACACCAACACACTTTGCTCACAACTCCCCCATCCTCAGAGTCAAAAAACCCAACGGCCAATTCCGGCTAGTACGACCTCAGAAAAAAATCAATGAAGTTATTATCCCCACCTACAACCCAACTCCTACACCCTTCTATCTCATATCTGCCCCCCACCACCCATTTTTCAGTGCTAGACCTGAAAGATGCCTTCTTTACTATTCTCCTCCATCCTGTCTCACGCCCACTTTTTGCCTTTACCTGGACTGACCCAGACACTAATTCCTCTCAGCAGTTCACCTTGACTGATCCCCCACCAGGCTCTCCAATGCAACCTGGCAACTTTGAATTTATCCTCCAGCCATCTCATATAGTATGTGGACAAACTCCTGCTCTGTAGCCCCTCAACTGAAACCTCCAAACACCACACTACCATTCCTCTCAATTCCCTGGCCTCCTGGGGTGCTGGGTCTCTCAATCCAAAGTCCACCTCTGCTCCCCTCAAGTGTAATATTTACGCATTCTTTTAACCCCCACCACCTGTACCATAACCCCAGAAAGACTTCAAGCATTGAAGGATATTCCTTTACCTTACTCTAAAAGAGATATGCTAAACCCATCCTCTTTAGATTTATAGTATCTCCAATAAATTTCTCAATCTTGTACCACCTGTCTCAAAGCTAATCCCAATTTCAATGTGAGACCACCCCCATTTCCCACACATCAAGTTAGGGGAGCTCTTCCTGCCATGGACCGGCAACTTAATTTTGCCTAAATGCCCCCTGTAAGAAAAATTAAATATCTCCTAATCTTTTTTTTTAATATTTATTTTTTAGTTTTAGGTGGACACAATATCTTTTTTAAAATTTTTATGTGGTGTTGAGGATTGAACCCAGCGCCCTGCGCATGCCAGGTGAGTGCGCTACCACTTGAACCACATCCCCAGCCCAATCTCCTAATCTTGGCACACAGCTTTACTGGATGGGTCAAGGCCTTTTCAACTACCAATAAAAAGGCTTCTACAGTTGCAACCCTACTTTTCCAAGAAATAATTCCACGTTTTGGTTTACCTGCCTCCCTTCAGTCCCAAATTCATCTCCTCTATTACCTAAGAAGTAGCTAAATTTTTGCATAGAAAATGACACTTCCACATTCCCTATCATCTGTAGTCTTCAGGAAAAGTTGAAAGGACAAATAGGACCTTAAAGGCAATCTTAATCAAACCATCTATAGAAATCCATTTGGATTCGAGTAAGCTCCTCCCTTTAGCCCTTCTCAGACTCTAAGAAGGACAAATAGGACCTTAAAGGCAATCTTAATCTAACTATCTATAGAAATCCATTTGGATTGGAGTAAGCTCCTCCCTTTAGCCCTTCTCAGACTCTAAGCTCTCCCCAAGAAACCTCTCATGATTAGCCCATTTGAACTCCTTGTCCCACCCACCATTCAAACTCAATCACCAAACAGTCTTAAAATGTTGTGAATCCCCTCCTAGCTCATTTCAGGGCCACCCTCTGGAAATATGCCCTGTCCCATCTTCTCCAGTTGCAATCTCCAGAAGCCCCTCCTCTTATTTCTATAGGAGACCTGGTATACCTTTCTTCCCCACAACCTACAGCCCCCTTACAAGAAAAGTGGAAGGGCCCCTTCAGGATTATTCTGACTACCCCAACTGCAGCCAAATTAGAAGGCCAACCCTCTTGGGTACACTTGAGCAACTTAAAGCTCATTCCTGGTAATGCCTCTTATCAGTCTATTTCCATAGGCCCCACCTGACTACACATGTCCCGCCTTCCAATTATTTCCAAGGAAGGAGCTGATTCTTCTCCTGGATGCCACTTTCTCAGACATCCTTCTACATTTTTAAAATAATTCTCAGAGACAAATTATATTTATCATATTCACTACCCCTTCATCTTTGCCCTTTCCAAATGCTTGACCTCATCTGGGAACTCTGGCTTCAAGGAACATTCCTTGATCTGACTCCCACTCAAATCTCCCTTTTCTCTTTGTGCTTTCTATATATCATCTTTGACTTTACAAACAGCCTCATACTGGACATCAGGAAAATCTACATGCCTAAAACAATATGGCCAAGGCCTGGCTCGTCTCATCAGTATACTGCTAGGAGAGTCACCATGCACCCATTGCATTTCTAAACAAGAAAACACGGAAACTCTCACTGACTAACTTATCAACATGTCAACTGCTATGCATGCAGACACACCTCAACTCTCTGCTCTGGAGAAAACAAGTGATACTGGATGGGCTAGAGCAAGGGAAACAACACCGGATTTATATGCAATGGGTATGCTGGACTTATCACACCCACCTCAGTATGTCTGATGATGGTGGGGTCCAAGATCAGGCCTCACAAACCATTCTTAGAACCCAAATACCACAGATAATACAGAAAGATTTCTATCCTACCAGAACTCTCTTGCACCTCACTGATCTTATGAGGCCATATACTTTGGACTCCCAAATTAACACACTCATCAACTTAAACTGATCAACTTCTAAATCTCACCAACCCACACTTAGCCCAAGATTGCTGGCTCTGTTTGCAGCCTGGTCCCCTTTGGTACTTTGCCAGCCCTATAAACGTGTCTGGATTAAGTTATCATTGGATGAATTCCTCAAACAGTAGGCCAAAACTCAATGGGGTCCAATTGTTTCAAACTGCCCCCCAATGTATTGTAACTTTGTAATACAAATTCTGATCACCTTTAAGAAAACAAAATACAACAATATTCAACAGCTCAATCCAACCTCCATGCCCCCTACCAATCCCACAACTTCCTTTCTATGTGGGACCTGCATTTACCCTTGCCTGCCAGGAAATTGGACCAGTCTTTGTACTTTGGTGTTCCTTACCCCTCAAATTGATATTCTATCTAACAAAAGTAGTTGTCTCCTCCCATAACATGGTCTTGCTAAAACATTATAAAACTCTGATCTTTGCTGCATCCTCCCACCATTTTCTACCTGAAAATGTGTCCCTCCAATTCCTGACTGACTCCACGGCTTAATATAAGGCATTGCTGATCCGTTGAGGTCTGTTCCGCTTCTTTTTTTGCTTACGGGGTAAAGCATCTTCTCTTTGCAGGATCCATGTATCCAGCTCAGCTGCTACCAGGCACTTACCTCAGTGTAGGTGTGATTTACAAGGTCCTTCACCTGCAGCCAGAATTCCCCAGTCATGCAGGGAGGATGGGCACCCTGGATTGCCCAGGGTTTCAGATCATCAGTGGATGTGTAACAGTGGTCCATTTTATGCTTGGAATATAGCCCTTGCTGCTCTGCCAATGCAATTTATTTTTAATGTGGATGTGTTTCTTTCTCTTCCTCTCCCTCTCCCTGATCTTAGGGGAAATAGGATCACCTTTCTTCCCATCCAAGGCAGTTATCTGACCTTGAGCACACACCCACCACAGGTTTATCTACACCTTAGGGATGGTGCCAGAAGACCTCAGAAATGACTGTCTCAAATTAACAAGTGAATTACAACTCCAGACAGAGAACACGTGGAATGTGGCCTTTGAGTCACCTCTTGAAAAGCCCCTTGTTCCTGCAGATGGGCAAAATCACAGCCTTTGGGAAGGCGTCCCCTGTGTTTCTCTTTTCTAGCAAAGCAATAAGCCTTTTTCTCAAAACCGTGTCTTCGTTATCGGATTTGCATCGAGGACAGACGAAGCTCAGGAGCCACCTCCCACACAGGCCTCGCTGCCCGCCGGGCACGTGCCCAGGGCCCGCGGGAAGGCTGGCTGCGCTGGAGCTCTCCTCTGCACTGGAGCCCTATCTTCGCCGTGGTGGGCGCCGGGCGCCAACTTGCGCCCAGATTACGAACGGCAGCCTTCCCCACCACGAATGTAGTTCAAAGTCACAGTCCCTCTCCTTTCGCTTCTCCAGGCCGCAGTCGGTGCACGGACACCACTCCCCCGGCGGCCTCGCGCCAGGAAGAGGCCGTGACGGGCCACCGGAGAAAGCTCGGTTTCTAGAGTGGCCGTTCCGCGCAGCAGGCTGAGGGACAGGCTCACGGAACTTCCCCAAGCGGCGGCGGAGGCTCTGCCACCCAGCCTCGCCGCCAGACCCCCGCCCCTAGCCCGCGCCCCGGACTCGGCGGCCCCGCGCCCTCAGCGCCTGCCCCCGCCCCCGCCCCCGCCCCCACCCGGGGCTTCGCGGAGGCGCCGGGCTGGGAGACCGCACGCCTCACAGGGCTGCCGAGCGGCCCGCGCGCGCCCGCAGGCGACACTTACTCGCCCCTCAACCAGCCGGCTCGTGAGACGGACTAGGTGGCCTCCGCACCGCGACGTTCAGTCACCACAAGCGGCCGCCGACAGCTCTGTCGCCGCCGCCGAGGCCGCCGCTGCTCTCCTTCCGGCCCCTACGCAGCGTCACCTCGCGCCTGCGCACAGCGCCCCCTCCCGACTAGCGACAGGAAGAACCATAGAGGCAAGCTGGGTGCGAGGGAGGAGGGACCCAAGGAACGAGACCATAGAGAGGTCTGCCTAGCCGGGCCTCCATCTGGTTCATCGCTGCATATACTTGACTCCCCCATCAGGCGGGAGGACGAAAGGGACAGGGACCCTCGAGACCTTGAGAGGATCTCCATCGCCTTAGAGTTAAAAAGGGTAGGGGCAGGTAGCTGTAGAAATTGACTGGCTGTCCACTTTTTTGAGCCTCTAACATATACACTCTACTTCGTACCTATATCCGAAGGGCATCTTGTGTGCCAAGCCCTGTTCTAGGAATTGGGGATAATGCAATAAAGAGGGTCCCTGTTCTCACAAAGCTTATGTTTTAATTGGTAAGTTAATAATCAACTGAAATCCAGCTCAGGCAGGGTGTATTCAAGGACAAATACAACTGGGGTGGAGGAATAAAGCCAAGAAAGGAATAGGAAAGCTGTCAGGAGAAGCATTTCCTGCAGAGAGAACACTGGAGCAGAAAAGGAGGGAGCCAGGTGACCTTTGGAGGGGATAGAAAAAGCCAAGGCCCTGACTTGGGAATATGACCTGTAGGTTGGGAAAAGAGCAAGAATGCTAATATGAGGGCAGTGCAGTGATTGGGTAGTGGTGGTGGTGTAGAGAGTGGGGTTGGTGAGGTGGCAGCCACCCAATTTTATTCTAAGTGTGGTGGGAGGCTACTGGAAAGTTGGGAGCAAGGGTCTAAGTTAATCACCTTGTTTTCCAAACATCATTTTGGTTTCTATTTGAAAAGCTACACATGATAGTAGAAGCTTTACAGAGAAGCAGGAACAGGGGCAGGAAAGCCAATTAGGAAGCTACTACAGAACTCTAAGTGCAGAAGTCTATGTGACTTCTGCAGTATGGTCAGGGAGGAGGTGTTGAGACAAAGTCAGATTAGGGATTTTGTTTTTAAGCAGAGAGGATTTTTTATAGCTTTATTTTGTTTATTTAATTTGTTTACGTGGTGCTGAGAATTAAACCCAGTGCCTCACACATGCTAGGCAAGCGCTCTACCACTGAGCCACCACCCCAGCCCCTAGAGAGGATTTTTGATGGAGCAGAAGTAGGATGAGAGAGAAAGGAGTCAAAGTTGATCATATATGGTTTTTGGTTTGTGCAACTGGGTGAATTGTGGTTCCACTCAATGATGTGTAAAAATGTGGGAGAGGGCTGGGGCTGTAGCTCAGTGGTAAAGTGCTTGCCTCGCATGTGTGAGGCACTGGGTTCGATCCTCAGCACCACATAAAAATAAATAAAGATACTGTGCGACCATCAACTAAAAAAAATATTTAAAAAATGGGGAAGAAACATATTTTGTTCAGGGTAGGTTGAAATGAGCATGTTTTGGACATGTTAATTGCCAAGTAGACCTTCAAGTAGGCAATTAGATCTATTTAGAGGCCAGAGATTTTAATTGGGGTATAAATACTGCATGTTCTCATATAAATGTAGAAACTAAAATAATTGATCTCCCAGAGGCAGAGAGTTGAATAGTGGTTCCCAGAGGCTGGAAAGTTGAGAGGATGGGAAAGATGGAGAGAAGATGGTTAACAAGTAGAGGAGTGCAGTTAAATAAGAGGAATAACTTCTAATATTTTATAGCACATTCAGGTAACTATGGTTTACAATAATTATGTGTTTCAAAATAGCTAATAGAGAGGATTTTGAATATTTCCAACACAAAAACATAAATGTCTGAGGGAATAGATATATAAATGACCCTGATCTGATCATTACATGTATACATATGTTGAAATGCCACATTGTACCCTAAAAATATATGTATATGTATACAATCACTATGTGTCAAGAAATTTTAAAATATTTTTAAAAATTGGGTGTCACTGACATAGAGATAATATATAAAGCTATGTGACTGGTTACGTTTATACCTAGGAAATGAATGTAGACAGAGGCAGCTTGGGGTTGAACCCAGGGTCTAGGAGGGGGATGAAGGAGGAGAAAAACCAAAAGAGTAGTGGTGTGCTAGAAGCCAATGTCAGCATTCCATGGAGAATGAAGTGAGTGGTGGTGCTGGAGCTACTCAAAGACTTAAAAGAATGGAGTTGGACCTCAGTGGAGCAAGAAGGGCCTGTAGCTGAGAGTGGAACCAGGGAGAGTGTTTTGGAACTTTGGGGAGAAAGAGTGGAGGGCAAAATGGCTAGCAGAATGTAGTCAGTATGCTGAGCCTGGAATTTTGTGATCATAAATTTAACATGAGGCCAGGCAACAAGGGTAGGATCTTTCTCCAACCATCTGCTCAAATGCAAAGGAAGGAATCTGGAGAGACAAAAGGCAGGCAGAGGGAAGCTTGAAATTGAAATTTTGGAGAGAATGCAGATGTTGATAATGATAGAGTATTATAGGTTGTGATTATGAGTGGGTAACCATGAAAACCCGTTGTTTTGGGTCTCTGATGGATATGCCTGATTGGTAGAGGGGAAATCCAGATCACTGAAGGGAGGGAACAAGAAACTAAGAGGCCTGGGTGTGGATGGATCATTTAAGAAGATGTTAACTTATCAAGAAAAATGGCAAAATTGGACACAGCGTGGGCAACAAGACAGGTTATAAAAATCTTCAATGACTGAAAGGGAGTTACCATTCTTTAGTCCATTTTCTGTTACTATGACAAGCTGTCAGAGTCTGGGTAATTTGTAAAAAATAGAGCTTGTTTGTCTCACAGTTCTCATATCCCAAAACATTGTTCTGGTGCGTGCTTGGTATCTCGTGTGGGCCTTGTTGCTGTATCGTAACATTGTGGAGGGCATTGCATGGTGGGACACAGCAAGTTCGCTAACTTTGAGTCTTTCTTCCTCTTCTTACAGAGCCACTAATGCTTTCAGGGAGTCCCCAGGTTCCCACCCTCATGACCTTCTCTAACCCTAATTATCTTTCAGAGACCTACTTCCAAATACCATCAACATGGGAATTCAGAGATGAGGTCTCCAACACATGAACTCCTGGAGAATACATTCGAACCATTGCAGAACAACAGATAGATGCATTCGAAGGAGAGTGGTAGAATCTGATGGCAAATGTTTCCCAGGATTCAAGTGATTGTCATTATTGTTGTTTTTGTTTTGCATTGTTTTAAATAAAGTGGGAGGAACAATAGTCTGGATGCAGCAATGTCACTCTAAGACAGTGAAACATGGCATGGCTTACACAGAAGAGAAAATGACCACTAAGGAGAGGTACAGGAATTTATGCCCTGAGAGTGACAGCTATGTTCCAAGTGAAGTAAGAAGGTACATCTGTTAAAGAGGAGGAGCAGATGTGAGGATTTTTTTTTTTAAAGTTGAATTTATTAATTTTTTTCAAAAACATGTAAGTTTAAGGAGAATGATCAAGTTGTATCATGAACTGGAAGGTGACTTATTAATTCCCTTTCTTTTCCAGGCTGCTGAGGTCCTCCAGGATCTAGATGAAGCTGGGCTGTTCTTGTCATGGAGGAAATCAGTACTGAACTTAGGTGAGATGCTATTATGGGCAGGTGTCTTGAGTACCAGATATCCTCTACCACCTTGGTGTTACCTACACCTGGCATAATATAGACGTATCCTGGGGGAAAGAAGCAGGGTGCAGAGATCACTCAGTGGCCTGGGATGTAGGTTCTGATTCCTCCGTGTATTGGGAGCTCAAGAAAAGAGGTTAAATTAAGTCCTAGGGAATTAGGAGAGTTATATGATCTATACTCAGGAATTTTGTGCACCAAAATTCACACAGAGAAGGTAAGGGAAGCACAGAAGGACCAACAGGTGAGGGCTGAGTCCTGAGATGTAAGGGCCAGAAAGTGCTGTAGGGATTAGGTGGGCTTGATGGACAAGCAACAGGATCAAGTCACACAGGTGATCAGACTAGCCCTGTTCCACCTTATCAAGATGCCACAGCTGATTCCACACTCTCCATCTCATAAGAGCAAAGCACCAGAGCCCAAAGAGGCCAGACTTTCCCAAACTTGAGGCATCTGAGTGGGACCACAGCAATTTTGGCATATTATTAGTAATTATACATATTATTAGTAATATTATTGCATAGACTGGCTTGTTATTCATTAAAATACATTTATCTCCAAAGGTAACTTACTCCCCGATTCCAAAAGAAGAAAACAGGTCCTGCTTTTCATAAGCAGAAAGTAACTCTAAAAATATTCAGTGAAAGAAAAGCTACTGAATTAGAAAAATTTATAATTAGCCCTCATTTCCAAAAGCATCAACTGCTTTTAATGGAAGGAAACCCCTTCATCGCCATCCTCCTGCCTCAGCTGCTGGGATTACACGTGTGTGACACCTTGTCCAGCGGGAATAAGCTTCTTGGTAGGAAGAATGAAATAGTCTGTAATAAGTCGAAATCAAAGGGATATTTGTTCCATGTTGTTCAGTGTAAAGTAAAGATGAAGTTCTATGTCAATGGGGTCTTTTGTTTATATTAATTTTTTTTAAGCACGGAGTTGACATTTTTTTAAATATTTATTTATTTTTTTTAGGTGTAGATGGATACAACACAATGCCTTTATTTTTATGTAGTGCTGAGGATTGAACCCAGGTCCCGTCTGTGCTAGGCGAGTGCTCTACTGCTGAGCCACAATCCCAGCCCTATATTAATGTTAACTAGCACCAAGAACCAGGAAGGACCAATGATATCTAACTTGCAGATTAACCTATTGTCAATAAGAGATGTCGAGCTATTTTCCTGGGTTGAGGCATGGAATGCCATCTCTGAAAACCCCTATCATATATCTGGCTATAATTCTATATAGTTGTAGCGGAAAATTATGGAACAAGCACTCACCACCCCGGAGCTTGCCAGAGACTGTGGCTGTCATTTACATACCTGGATGAGTCATCATGTTGCGATATGATTTCATTCTCTGATCACACTTAGTTTAATGTGCAGCCGACCTAAAAAAAAAAAATCACAGAAATAG